GCTCCTCCGGGTTTTCTCAGCACTCAAAGAATTCAAAAAGAATTCAAGGAGAGCCCTTCTGTTTCAGCTCCGCAGAGTTTTTCCTCGCGGCTGGAGCCATCTGGCAAGACCCCTCACTGCTTCGAGTTGCGAGGCTCAGCCCACAGGACTTCCTCTCTGCAGAGGAGGGAGGAGCGCCACGCCTGTCTCTGTGACCCAGGGTTCCACACTTTCCGAAGGTTGTTTGAGGTTCTGTGAGCTTTTCTTTGCGCTCCTTTGAGCTTGTTTGAGGATGATTGAGGCTATTTGAGGTTCTTTGTGTGGAAAGGATGGCTAGGAATTGCCTGTTCACGAGGGCCTCGCTTTGGCTTCAACGTGAAATCCTTATGTAGCTTATGTATTTCTGTCTTAAGTTTGTAAGGCATTTTGAAGACATGGTCCCTCTCACTACATAAGGCGGCCCAGTGCCTGCGGTGACCGTGCTCTGAGCCTGGAATCGGAGTCCATTGTCTGTTGAGTGACGAAGTGTCAACCCTCGAAGCCATATTTTTTTGCACAATCATTGGGAGCCCTCTCGGAGGGCCTGTTTTTCTTTGGAAAGTGTGGCTCACCCGGCCCTGTTTGAAAAGGTGTGGCCCCCGGTCCCCCGGAGTTCGATCCCCCAAGCCCACTGCCGAAGGGTTTGGTTGCCATTTGGTTCGTTTTGTTGGTTTTACATCTTGGTATCCTGAAGCCGATGCAAACCTTCACCTTGGACATTTGGACAGGAATATCTTGGAGCTTGCCAAAAACGCTCAACATGCGCCAGCACATGCCTCAACCCCTGCCCCAACCCATCTCAACCTATCTGAGCCCAGTTTCCAAGGCGCTCCTCCCTGCCCAGATGCGTGAGCGGCGCAAGCAGTTTCAGGCCACGCTGGGGATTTCCAAGATTCGATTTCAGAGGACATGGCCGTTCGAGGTATTTGTTACATACCCAAGATCAGGTATCAAGACGCAGGGGTCCCCGAAAGGTACCACAACGGCGCCGGTCCATAAAGGTACTCCACTGGGCTAGACAAAGTGCAGAGATCAAACTATGTACGCATGGGCCTTGTGCTGGAAACCGAGACTGGGCTTCTGTCTCCACGGCGCGCAGCGGGTGCAAATCAAGAAGACACGCTGCAAAGGAATCATAGGATAAAATCTGTAAGGGAAGATGATGCCAAGGCCTTTAACGAAGATCGGAGACCAAACCCGTCACAAAACCCAACAGGTGCTCACACACAATGCTCTCACGTCGAACGAGCTCAGCACAACGCCTAAGTGACCAAATCATCCGAAGCCACAGGCGCGCGACCCTCTCCAGCAGGGTCGCGCTGTCGGCAGAAGCCAGCAAGATGACGAAACCAAAACAAAGGCACGTCTGCACCAAAGGATCATGGAATACTGGATCACAAAGAGTGACATAGCACTGGAGCAAAGCCTGAAGGGGAGGATGCCAAATTTGCGACGATCTCCGTGAACCCGAGCCACAAAAGCCATCACCAGACAAGCAGAGAACGCCGAACACCACAGAAACGGCTTGCCGAATTGGCGGCCAGTCTGCCACTGCAAGATGCAGCCCAAGGCAAAGATAATGCTCTTGGCCAAGGAGCCAGTAGAGCATAGAGCAGCCTCTTTTCAGGGAGGTGGAAGGAGGGCTCATATTGGAGAAATCATCATGAAAAAATGATGACCATAAGCAGCCAAAATCTTCCATTCCATCATGCACCAAACATGGCGCCACAGGCAAGTTACTCTTAGCACCCCTACCTATGGGCTCCACCCTTGACCACGCGGAGGTTTCACTTGAGCCAAGGGCTGTTACATACCCAAGGCTCACGTGGTTGGGGAAGGATCGCAATAACCGATGCTGCACTTAATCAAGCGGTTTCGGGCTCATCAAGTTAAAATTAAACCTTTCTACTGGTTTCCTTGAAGATCCTCTGCAGACCAGTTGCAGACCTGAAGCCAGAAAGGGGCTTGTAGGGCCTTGTGGGCTGCCGTCTGTCGAGTTTCGGATTCATAGCTCAAGTTTCCAGACTTCATGCTGCGTTTTGTTTTACTCTGTTGAGGGGCAGCTGAGCCCCAATCAGCCACTAACCGAAGGCAAGTCTCTCACATCGACAAGTCCCTAACGACCCAAAGCGCCCTTTTGTGGTAGCATCTCCAGCTCTCTAGGAAGAGGCTGCGGAACGCGCCGCTGCTGAGGCCGCGCTTGCTGAGGGGCGCTTGCCTTTGAGACCTTGATCTGAATGTAAAGTTGTCCAACGTCAGTACCCTCACTTCGGGGCGGAATGTAGGACTGAGGCCATTGTGCGTTCGGTGCAACAATAGTGGAACGGCTAGTTTGGGGTTTCGATGGCTTAAAGGGTTAGGAGCGGGGTTGCTGCAACTGTGGCCCCAGGATGATCATAGTTTATTGGCATCACGGCTCTGCTTGTATCTGTTTACATTTTGGCAAAATATGATTGGCTTGGGCCAGCCAGCTCCTTTGTCTCACAACCAAGCACTCTTAGCACAGCGTGCATGCAAAACCCCAAACACTTCTGCCGTAAGCTCACTAGCTTGAAGCGGCCTCGCAATGGTTCCCAGCTCCCAAAGTAAAAATCACAGCCGAGGTTACCTCGACCCTCCTCAAGGCTCAACGCCCGAAGGAAATCGCTGCAAGCGCCCCGGCAAGTCTGCCAGAAACGTATCCCACACGTCAGCTGCTCCCTTGTCCGTCAGGCTCGCGCCGCCAGGGCGGCTAGCGCCCTGCCATTCTTCAGCGAGAAGATCCAGTGCCAGGCAACCGGGGCATTATTTGCCGGCGTGTTAGCAGGGTGTAGTCTTAGGGTTCTGTGAGAGACTTTGGAATAGGCAGGAAATTCCTTTCTCACAAGAACCTCCAATCATTTCAACAACTGCGAGAGGATTTGTGTAGAGCTGGAAGAAGCGAGCATCATTGACAGGGCTGCGGCATCTGGGGAGTGCGATACGACCGCATACCCCATGCCTTGGGCCCAGTCGCACAACCTGAAGACAGTTTCATGTTTCGTAGAATAGCGTTGGAGGGATTAGGGGGCATTGAAATCGGACACCTTCGGACCCTTCCAATGCTGGCTTACGGCCGTTATGTTAGGAGGAACGCTCCCGCAGAACAACCAAGTTTACATAAACTTAGGGTGTTGCTTCTGTCTTTGGGCCTCACTTGGGGTTCGCTGTGGGTATGCCGAATCCTGCCCAGTAAGCCTGCAAAGCACCCGTTTTCTCATTTCGCACGTTCGAACACAGTGCGATGACCGGCCTGGTCGTTCGCCACACTCAGCCTTAGGCCTTTACTGAGAGCCTAAACCTCAGTCAAGAGAAACACGAACTTCTTGGGAAGTTCAGTGACGAAGCGTGCAAGACGGAAAGATACAGGCAATACACCGAAAAGAAAGCGCTAGCCCAGGCTGCAGCAAGTGCATGAGTCCACAAAATTTCAGTTCTTTCCCTTGTCCACGTGGTACACACAGTTTCCATGCCGTGGCAACACTTCAGAAAAGGTCGCACGAAGGTAGGCAAGGAACATGAACAACCATGCACACACACACACACTCTAAAGAAGAACGCCCTTCTCGAGGGTAAGCACATGTCAACATTTTTTGAGACGAATCTCTCAAGCAGGTCCCCAGCATAGCTCCGCGAAGCTCCCCGAGGTCGGAGGGCACCACAAGCTGGGCAAGACGGCCTCACTGGGCGGCACGGACTACGTCGGGGTACCAACGACAAAGACGGTTTTCTTGTTTTTTTCTCCTCGCATTGCATAGACAGGTTAGGACTCGCTGAGATCTTGACAGGGAATCCCTTAGGGGGGGGGGGGGTGTGTGTAGGGCAAGTTCACTTTAGGTCCATGTCATGTTAAAGGAGGGCTAGATGATAACAAGACCTGAAGGGTTTCAAGCTGCTGAGTTCGGAGTTTAGTTTTAAACTGAGCACCAATGAGCTTCGGTGAAGCGTCGCTGGGTTTTTTTTTGAAAGGGGGAGGTGGATTTGTTGCGTGCAAGGGTTCTTAATTGGAGACCAGGAAGTGCGGTAATTTTTCGCGAATTCTTGCAGATGAAGCGAACCGAGATGCATCATCTTGAGAACTCCTTTTTCTGCTATGCCCAAGATGCTCAGTGGCCACCATTGGCCACAAAGGCCACATGCGCAAGGCTCCACACTCAGCTCACTACAGCTCTCGCAGCCCCTCAAAAGGGTGGAAAGCCGGGAGCCACTGTCATAGCCCCGAACCCGTATGAACGCCCCCAAATTCGGAGTCCCACTGTGGTATCTCAGACGACCCAGGCGCGCCTGGCTGTGCAGTGCTCAAAGTGTGGCCTGAGCTGGCGGACTGACGAGCCGCCATGAGAGGGGCGCTGCGGGATTCCGGATTTTTTTTTCAAGGTCTCAGCCATCCCTTCGCATTGCTGGCAGGGCAGGATCGCTAGTCGCCCTTCCCTCTAAACTCTAAGCCCCATGCCTGGATTCCTGCCTACTAGAGATTCACGGTTTGATGTCGCTGCAGCCAGTCCGTGCTGCAGATGGAGAGCTGGCCGCATGAACGATGCCGGCTTGTCTTGTCCAACATCTTTCAATGGAGCTGAAGCACTGTGGAACAGAAAGCATTGTGGGAATAGCAGCCCAATCCCTGGACCGACAGCGAACACGATTAAGACCTTCAATCCGAAACTCTGCAACCTGAATACCGACATCTGGGCCCTACAGATGCTACATGTTGCTACATCCAGGTCGTGTTTCAGTTGCCCAGGAAGCCCGGAAGCGGCATGAGAAGTCAAACCAACATAATGTACCGCGTTAGCTCATCCCGGCAGCTGAAGGTAAGGAGAGGAGGTCTACAAGCTAGACGCTTTTGTTTTACCAGGATTTTGCTCGAAATTGCCAGGCTTTTGCACGGATGAGCTACCGTGTCTTGAGTGGGCTCTAGCCATCCGCAATTGTAGAGCCCACAATCAAAAAGCCCGAAGTGCCAGGTCTGGATGGAGCTCGCCCGGCTACATGTCGAGGGTTGGCCCTCGCACACCGGCCCGGGTCCGGATTCCCAGGGGCAAGAAGTTGCTAGTGCCTAGCGCCGAGGTCGGCAAGCTTGGCGGTTCTCTGGTTCAGGCAAGGCTTGCTTGGGGCGGATAAGTGCGCAGTTGGTCTTCACGCTCCAAGGATCCAAAGTTTGACAAAGTTTGACAGCTCTGCAGTCCTTCCGCGAAATCCCAAGGTCTTGCCGCACCACAAGGAACTTCTACCTTGCAACTCCTTTGCGGCATGGAACCGAGGCCCCGTCCCAGCTCCTCAAGCGACGTCGAAGGCCAAGCAGGGGTTAAGCATGGTTCACCAGTCAGCCGCGTTCATCTTTCGTTTGCATTGTTTTGTGGTCCTTCTTGGTCTTCTGGCAGGACCAGAAAAGAAACCATAGCTGCCGTACTGTCACTGCTTGGTTGGGTTGTGGGCTTGTCGGCCAACTCCAGTCAAGCCAGGCCGTGCTTTCCGTTTACCTTCCAAAGGCGTTCAACTCTAGAGATGAACTTCATAGACTCTGCCACCCCCAGCTAGACTTTAAGCACGAGCAGCCGAATCCGCGGTCCTACTAGGGGATTGCTCGTGTTGCGCGTGGGTCGTCGCAAAAAGCCTCTCCAGAACTGTCTTTCCATTTCAGGAGCGGCCGGCTGCGCCGCGCCCAAGCTCTGACAAGGCTGGTCTGTTGGGGCGGGCCGGGCTTTCTGGGAGCGCTCATGGCCCACAGCCCGATCAGAACGGGTTGAAGGCCTCTTGGATGTAGAGCTCCTTGCTCTTCGTCTCTTGCTATGGGAGGTTCGCACTGCTGCCCTTTCCTTGCCTGGGTGTGCAAGTGCACATGTACAGCAGGATGCCATGGTGCGACCAACAAACAAACTCAAAAGCTCCATGCGTTCTGAACAGACGCTTCGAAAGAAGGCCCATGGATGGCAATGGACGCCAGCGGGCCTCTGCCCCTTTGTCGTTTGTCTCTCGTCATTGGCGGCCCCTGCAGCGGCACACGAAAATTCCAGGCCCGGAGGCTTGCAAGGCCCCAAGGCTCCTTGAAGTGCCTCTTATGGGGAACACAAGAACACAAGTAATGGAGCAGAACTCTTGCCACTCTTGCCTCCCTTCGAGAAGCACCGCGACCTGTCTCCCAGATCTTCGGAGATGGCGGAGTTCTCAAAGAGCCGTCAGCTCAGTCATCCAGATGAGAGGCGAGTCAGAGACCTGAGGAAGGTTGTTTTTGCTGGTGGTTCAGTCAGGAGACGCATTATGCTTTGCGCATGCACAGACCAGAGTTCATGTGCGCAAGGAATACGAAGCCGATCTCGATCGGTTTCGTGCTGAGAGGTTACCAGTTGGGTAAAGTTGACGACAACCTATGCTCGTGGCTTCATGACACGAGGCTGGGCAAAGAAGAGTTTGAGCTCGAGGCTGGAACATTGCATAAGCACTGGCTAAGGGCTGTCTCGGAGCGGGGTTGCAGGAAGTTCCTGCTCAGGGTCTGAAGCCTTTGATCTCCTCGCATCTGATGTCTGGAGGATATGATGTGCATGCGCGCAGAAATGATGCGAACCTGCAGCACCCTACATTTAAAATCATTCAAACAGGTGTTGTTGTGTTGGGGTTTGCTTGACTTTTCAGGTTCTGTACCCAAGGGTTGCAATGGGGTATTTCGTTTCTTCTGGCTTAAACTTAGACTTAGAGTCTGGGCTTGGAGTTGGAGTTTTTTCTGGCGCCCCACAGTCCAGGAGTGGATTCCATGTCGCGAAGTTTGAGCTTACATGTTGAGTTTTCGCGATCTCCCCCGTTTTAGTGCAGCTCCCCTTGGGGCTCGAGTCCCCCCGATCCAAGATTCCCGCGCTGGCTTTGGCGTGGCGATGTCTCGACTTCTCTGCAGTTCTACCCGATTCTACCTTATGAACGGTGGCAAAACCTCTTCTCTGTCCGCCGCTTAGTCTAGACAAACAAATGCCAGGCTTTTGCAGACACAAATGTTTGGCAAGTCCTGTCAAATCTTGGCAAAGTTCACTTGCTCGAGTCCCCGTCCAACTGCCAGCCCTTTCTAAGACGAACAATCACTATCCCCATCATAGCTTCGCAGAAGCCCTACCAACAACATACCCTGTTATCATCGTCTCCTCTGGACATGGGTTGGAGAGACCTTCGAGTCAGCGAAGCAATGCTCCCACTGGGTCCATTCGTTCTGGGAAGTCCTGGTGCCGAACCGTTCATCGAAGCCGGGACTGCGTTGCGATTGAAGACCTTAGTTCGCCAGCACGATGTTGTATGTTGTGTGAGCAGGGCAGTGCAGTGAAAGCCTGGGTCCCCAGCGAAGGCGGCTGAGTTGAAGCGTAAGCGGAAGCGTGCTGACTCTCACCCACATCTCACCCACATCCTACCTCGAAAGCGCGTCCGCGCAAGTTGGCTTCTCGTGACTGGACCCCTGGGGTGTTGAGAGGAGGAGTTCGCGTGAGGCAGCCCATCCAGGAATTAGCCGCCTCAAAAAACTCACCGGACCTGGGCAGGAGCACGGGTTCAGACCCCCAGCCAGGCCAAAACCACGGTGTTTGCGGTGCTTGGGACACCTCTTCGCGTTTCCGGGCCCATAAATGCGCCCGGCACCTAGGCGAGAACATCGCCATTCAGAAACATGCAGGCGCGTAGACGAAAGCGTCGATGTGGTACGTAGCAGAACGAGCGGCGCAAAGAAAAAGTGCTCAATAGCAAAGAAGGAAATTTGGCCCCTGGTGGAGATGACGGCACTAGGGGGGCGGGGTGGGGGTGGGGGGGGGGGGGGGGGGGGGGGGGGGGGGGGGGGGGGGGGGGGGGGGGGGGGGGGGGGGGGGGGGGGGGGGGGGGGGGGGGGGGGGGGGGGGATCCGGGCCTGCTTGCTCCAGACGCTTCTCGACAGGAAGCCGAGGCGAACAAATGTGCTAATGTGCAGAATCTACAGATGCATGCATGCAGGGCAAACATCCTTCAGGGTGCTACCAGGAATTGGGTTCGTGCTTTTGTCAGGTGGAAGTTCACAGGAAAAGGGATACAGCATCATTCTTGAGCCATCCCAACATCCCGGTTTCCATGCTCCATCCCGCAAGTCGTTTGGGTTCTGGTCTGGTTAGGCTGTTGACAAACACCATGTCGCAAACCTTCCAGGCTGAGTCGCAGCAGATGTCCCTAGAGACGCTCCGGGCACAGAATCGGCTCATCGAGGAGTGGCGCAGCGAAACATAGACGTCATATGTTTCGAAGGTTTTCTTTTTGGTGCCTTTTTTCCCTGGCTTTGGGCGGTCTTGAGCTTCTACGACTTCCTGCTTGTGGGTCTAAGAGAGTCTACGAGGGCTTAGGGCGCGTCCAACCCCTGCACAACACCCCGCAAGTCTTTTTGAAGAACCCAGCAGGCTTTTGAGACACAGGTACGTCATGCGCCTTGTGCGGCAGCGCGACGAACTCAAGCAGGTCACGAAGCTGGCGGAGGCCTTGAAGCCTGAAGATGCCCGAAGATGCCCGAAGATGCCCGAAAGATGCCCGAAGATGCCCGAAGACAAGAGAATTTGTGGGATTTGCCGGGTTGCCAGGGTTTCGTGGTTTGTGATGGATGTGGATCGAGTGTTCGCGCAGCCGACCCTCATCAATCATGCCAGTTGAACAGCTGGCTATACATCACTGAGTCTCCGTCAAAGTTCCAGGAACCTAAATTTCCCTCAGGAGCGCGACTCCTACCACATCCTCGGCCTCAGCGGTCCAGCCTGCAGCGAGGAGGAGGCCCCCCCAATTAGGGACCCAAAAGGGCTCTCTAACGGAAGGGGCACAGGAAGTTGGGGGCGGCTGTTCTCAAAAGCATTGTGTCCTTGTTTGGGACCTTGAGGCTGTCTGCAGTTGTCTTTGGAGCACGGGCCATTGACTTTCCCCTGTGCCTGAGGTCAAGAAAGCCTATCGAAATCTGGCGCGCAAGGAGCACCCCGATAAGGCCCCACGCAGCGATGAAGCGATGAGCTAGGGGGCTCCAGAGGGACTCTGAGGTTGATAAGGTTGCAACGGTCCGCAAGTCCTTTCAAAACCTCATGTGCTCTCATTATCCCCAGGTATGTTCAGAAGCTCTAAACATACAAATGTAGCACGTGTCAGAGCAATGAAGAGCAGCGAAGCTTTCCCGATCACGCTTTCTTTGAGCCCCGAGATGTCCCGACTTCGCTGGGAGGCAGGCATCGGCAACAAAAGGCGGTTTCAGGCTGCCGGAGGGAACTTGGAGGGGAACAAAAAAAGACGGGTGCTCAGAGGTACAATACGCTCGGAGTTTAACCTTTTTGGAATGATCTGCACCCAGCACCCTCCACCCTTATGAAATTCAGGAACCCAATCTAACGCTAAATAGGTTCAGTGGGGCCCGATGCTTATAGGGTTTAGGCTCCTTTGCCTGTGGTTCGGTGGGCTCAGAGTTAGGAGGAGGCCAAAAACTCCCCCTTGCATGGTAGCAGTTTGGCTTGGGGAGGTTGGAGTTGAACGTTTCATGTTTTCGAGATTAGCCCCCTTTGTCCCCTACAACCTAAGCAAACACAAACGCAAAGACGCACACACACACAGAACAGAAGCTATGACTCCTCAACAAGAACCCAGCGACCTAGACTTTGGAAGAGTTACCGATGCGGCTGGACATGCGCGTTGCATACGCCTTCTTCCGGCACAACGCATGTGTCTTGCAGAAGCATGTGCGAAGTAAAGCCAAAAATGTTTACGTTGATTCAATTTCCTAAAATGAAGCCCTTCCGGAATCAATTGCGAGGCGATCCAGCAGGCGTATTCGTCCATCCTGAAACAGAGGCTTCGGCACAATGTTACCATGATTTACATCTTGGGTTCGAGGTTTTTAGTGTCCCTACAGTTGTTGGTGTACAGTGTGTTTCCCTTGATTGAGCCTTGAGCCTTCCAATCGCGCGTGAATGTCACCAATGGTCGACAAACTCGAAGGACCAGGGCCGAGCTGTTGAAGCCGGCTTCCCCAACGCGGCAGTTGTCGTGGCAGTTGTTGCACCGCTTTGGTTTCGGGCTGTTTGTCTGTTAGTTAGCTGAATTGGCGGAATTCCTGGTTCAATTCAAAGTTCTTGAGTCCAAGTGAAAGCTTTCTAAGAACATGCACCTGGAACCTTGCCTTGGTGTCGATCCTGCAAAAAAGGCGTCTTTCAGGGTTGAGCCGCGAAACTCTCGTTTGCTACCTGCTGCAGCCTGCCAGGCAGTTGGGCGGAGCTGCAACTGTCGCGGCAGAGGTGGGTGTTGCATTCAGCTTCGAGTTCTGCAAAGGTTTTGCCGCATGGTCGACTGCCAGAGCGGCTTATTGCCCTCGGGTTTTCGCCTGGGGCTGGTGGCGATAATTGTGGATAATGTGGTCTCCTGATTAGTGTGGGGGCCCCCCCCCAACTAATTCCCCCGCAATAGTAAGAACAAAAAAACGGACCCCCCCCCAAACTAATTTTCGGCCCCGGCCCCCCGGCCCCCCCCCCCGGCGCCCTCTTATTCTCTTGGCTCCTCGCTCTCTCCCCTCTCCTCTCCCTCTCCTCTTCCTCTCCTCTTCCTCTCCTGTTCCTCTTCCTCTCCCTCTCCTCTTCCTCTTCTCCTCCTCTCCCTCTCCTCTTCCTCTCTTCTTCCTCTCCTCTCCCTCTCCTCTTCCTCTCCTCTTCCTCTCCTCTTCCTCTCCTCTTCCTCTCCCTCTTCCTCTCCTCTTCCTCTCCTCTTCCTCTCCTCTTCCTCTCCTCTTCCTCTCCTCTTCCTCTCCTCTTCCTCTCCTCTTCCTCTCCTCTTCCTCTTAGGTCATGTTGTCTGCATATGAGTTTGAAGGGGATCCATCTATCCCAGCCAAGCCAGCCCGCAAAAAAAGATAAAATTCCGGGGAGCAAAGGTTTTATATTATACGGCATTCGGGCAGCTGCTGGACTACCCCCTTGGAAATTTGATTGCCCGGCCTCGGTACAAAAGCATTTTATAAGGAAATCTTAGTTTTGGGGCTGGCCTGGAGACTGAAGATTTCAGGGCCCGACAACCTCAGGCCTCAAGGTTTAGCTCAGGTAAGCTCAGATGAGCTCAGCTCAGGTAAGTTTTTTTTCTCTCTTCCGAAACCCATGCCCGAAAAAAGTTTTCATTAGAGTGGGGGGGCAGCCGAATCTTTGTCCCCTGAATTATTTTTCGAAATCTTTTCATTATTGACGGGGTCCACACTAATCAAGATACAACATTATTTGGGAGGCCTAGCCACTGCGTTCTCCGAGTAGGCGGACACTGATGGACACGCTGCCGACGGCTCAAACCAATGTTCGCTCAGCACGCATTGTGAGACGAGTCCCCCCATTCCCTCTTCCTTTGAGAGCTCGCCAACGATGGTAGTTGTCAGCAAGATGGCGCGCTCGAACGGCCGCACAGTTCTTGTGGGTGCTGCTGCAGCAGCAGCAGTCCTCCTGGCTCGCGCGTTGCAACGTTCGATATCCTTCGGGGCGCTTGCCTCTCACCGCCGCGCGCAGCCGACAAGTGCTGCAGCCATAACTCTCACGGAAAATGGCAGCCTTGGTCTAGTTTATCAAAGTGCATGGCAGAGATTTGAAGGCATGTTCGCCCTTCCTAAATTTAGCCCAAGAGGTGCCCAAAGCTGTGCCTTGACGTCTCTTGAAGTTAAGTTGCCAGGAAGACAGCTCACCTCCTGAGGAGGTGCCGCCCACTGCTGGCCCGCATTGACGGTCTTGGTTCTCACAGAAACGGTTGTGAATTTGTACTTTCCGCAGATTTTGATCGCTTCGCTTTTTGCGGAATTTGAAGGTGGAGGCTTCTCTTCTTTCGCAGCTCTGCCTTAAGGTCTGCGCCCCCTCTGCCGTCCTGGAAGAGTCTTACAGATATGCCCAGGAGGCGCTGGGAAATTTTCAGAGATTGTTTCGGGGAGATTTGGGCAGCCAGAGAGGGGACGCCAATCAAAAGCCAACTTTTTACAATCAAGAGATGGCCTGTTGGCAATCAAACAAACTTATTGACGAACGATCAACAACTTTATTCGTCCAAGCTACAGCTTCTGCTGCTGCTGCTGCTCCTCCTCCTCCTACTACTACTACTACTACTACTGCTACTACTACTACTACTACTACTACTACTACTACTACTACTACTACTAGTACTACTACTTCTGCTGCTACTACTACTGCTACTACTGCTACTACTACTACTACTACTACTCCTACGACGACTTCTGCTACTACTACTGCTACTACTACTACTACTACTACTACTACTACTACTACTACTACTACTACTACTACTACTACTACTACTACTACTACTACTACTACTACTACTACTACTACTACGACGACTACGACTGCGACTGCGACTGCGACTACGACTACGACTACGACTACGACTAGCGCGATGATAACGTTTGTGACCACTGCGTGCGCATGGCCGGAGCATCCATGTCCGCACGATGATAACCTCCATGCAAAAACATCGGTATTTGCGACACTTCGTGGCTTCACGGCGTGCGAATGGCCAGAGCATCCATGTCCGCACGACGATAACGTCCCTGTTACCAGAGCATTTATGTCCGCACGATGATAACGTCCGTGTTACCAGAGCATCCATGTCCGCTTGAGCCCAGCACTGAACTCCGCTCAGTGTCTTCCATGTCAAAAAAAAACAAGATAAGAGGAACTCTGCCAACCACCTGCCGTCAGCTGAAAACACTGCAAAACGCATGCTTTTCCTCCCACTCCTGCGCAACCAACACACCGTCGCGTACGTAACCAGCGCGTACTACTACTACTACTACTACTACTACTACTACTACTACTACTACTACTACTACTACTACTACTACTACTACTACTACTACTACTACTACTACTACTACTACTACTACTACTACTACTACTTTAACTTATTACTTTACATTACTACTCTATACTCCTACTCGAAACTTCTACTCCATACTCCTACTCTGTACTCCTGCTCCTGCTCCTGCTCCTGCTCCTGCTCCTACTCCTACTCTTACTCTGCTTCTTCTTCTCGTGGTCTGTCACCACCACTACTAAAGGGGGGTTTGATGGGGGGTTTTGATTCGACTCTTTTTTTGATTGTTACAACAAGCTTTGATCAGCTACGCGCCGGGAGGATGCCAATTTTGGACCCGAACTTTCCTCTCTCAACGCACCTGAGGGCTTTGAGAATTGTTCTTTGGGAAAGCGGATGAACATCTGGGAGGCCAAAGCCTCCGCGGAGTGCGTGGCACGCTGCGGCCACCGCGCACTCAGGAGCTGGGACGAGGGCGCTGAGGCCGCTTTGTCTGTTGCCGTAAAAGGCTTGCCTTGTTGGTTTTTCGGGGGCTGGAGTGGCAGGCTGGGCGTTGTGTTAGCCCTGAATAAAGCAACACAAAGACAATCATCCCTAGGCCGCCCTAGAGGCTCCAGAGGCCCAAGAGGTCGTAGCTCGAAAGAGGAAGCAGCTCAATACAGAAGAAAACGGATCCCCGGGAGCCTGACAAAGCACTGACAAAGCTTTGCGAGCACCCTGCCCAGAACGACTCAACGAATCCCTCCAGCTCTGCCAGGGCCATGGCAAGCGCCGGGCCTTGCGCAGCCTTCGCGACCTCACCCGCCCCTTGAACACATTGTAGATGGGCTCTGACGGTCTCCACCCCGAAACCGCATCCTCAAGCCAGCCCATACCCGTCCAAGCAAGCCTCTGGTCTGCCGAGGCCAAAGCGCGTCTGAGCTCCGAGGCGAGGGTCGCCAGAGCTGAATGCAGTTGTCAAGAGGTGGTATTCTCGGTTTTCACACGTTTGCAAGTTGCGAAACTGGTGCTGCATCTCCGAGAGTCGCCGGTTCATGCGCCGGAGCTTAAAGGATACTTAATGTGGGAGATCGTGGCTGTAACGTTGACTGAAAGGCTTCCAGGCACCACACCGACTGAGAAACAACACCGCAACTACCGTACTATGATACTATGATATACTTTGAGTACTCGACCTTAAGCGACCCCGCCCCCTCGATCGCAAGGCGCCGCGTCCCAGCTGCGGGCCCTGTCGCATGCAGCAGCTGCCTTGGCGAAGTGCGCCGAGGCTCCAACGGGATGCGGCCAGGTTCTTCAGTTTGGGAGCCCAGAATGATCAAAAAGAAATTCAAGCGTTGATTTCAAGACTTGAGGGGTAGAGTAGGTAAGCCATCCAGCCCCTGAATGTCTTAGTGAAAGTTTGATGATGCTTGATGACTCATTCTGTGGCTATAGTATGCCATGACCACTTCTGCCTACTCCCCAAACCACAGGAAGAGCTGAGGGAGAGAGAGAGATTTCTTCGTACCCCCAAACCGTCCAAACGTAATGCAGGGCCGTGCTGTGCTGGACCCTCTTAGACCTCCCATGCCAGCCAGGCGCTGCTGAGCGACTGCGCCGACCTCGCGGAGACGCTCAACTCCGCAGTGGCTCGGCTGAAGTGACTGAAGTGCTGAGCTGAACTTCCCTGAGGCCTCTCAGATGCGTGGAGTGGGTCCGGATTTTAACAGTCGAGGTGCTTGTGGGAGGTGCTGTCGTTTTAGTCGTTTTCATCATAGATCCTGAAACGCCCCTCCCCCGCCTAGACGGCGCTGCGTGACAGATGTGCCATGGCCGAGGATGCAGGCACGGGGACACTTGCCACTCCGCTCTGAAGCCGTAGTCGCCGACCGGCTAAACCCTGAAGAGAATCCTGAAGACTTCTGAAGTTCACTAGACTCACTAGACTCACTAGACTCCCTAGACTCACTAGACTCACTAGACTCACTAGACCTCCCAGTGCCAGGGCGCGCCTGCGGTGGCTCGGCGGAGCTCCTTGACAGGCCGTTGCTTGCCTTCGGTATCCTTCGGTGTCTTGTCTTCCGAGGGATCTTGGAACTTTGGAACTCTTCTTCATGTTTTTGCAGAGCGCATTGTGCCGCAGGATCAGCGATGCCACAGAGGCCTGAGCTGCAGCTCCTAGATTGACGTGGGCATCATTCGGGCATCTTTGATCGGTTGACTGCAATGTGTGCAGATATGAGGTGTATAACAAAAAGCGCATTCTCCCCCTCCTTCGCATTCGGCCTTGAATCTGGGGCCGCAGTACGGTAGCTTTGCAGCGTCAGAGCTGGCCTAACAATCGTCAGAAGATCATGGCCACCGTGCCGCGACTTCACACACGCACAAGGTTAGCAGGCCTCAGATGGTTTTTACGACAAGCGGGGCATGCTGAACAGCATGCTGAACAATTGGCACCAGCGAAACCGCAGCCTTCTAAGAGCAGAAGCCGTGCCCCACAAGTCGAACCCGGTGCCCGAAATCCCTAGCCCGAGAACCGTCGAGGCGACTCTGCGAAAAGTGGAGAAGGCCTCGCCTGAGTCGCAGGGAGAGGCAGGGTGGTTCCAAGGACTTGAAACCTATCTTCAGGGCTGTCGGATTTGGGTTTAGTTCTTTGCGGGCTTGGAGTTTACATGGGCTTACCGGGATTACTGTGTGCCTGTGTGTCGGGCTGAGGGCCTTGCCAGACGGGTGCCTGATGGAGCAAGTAGCGGCTGTAGCTCTCCTCGCCCGCTGACGCTCTTCCCCCTCGTACAGCCTCATCTGTCGCGATGCGTCGCGCGTCATGGCTTTGGAGGGCTTTGGGCTTTTGACGCGCCGGAGCTCCGTTCGGTCCGTTCGTCTCGCATCTCACACTCATCTGACTCTTCGTAGCAGAAGCTCATTGTGAGACCTCGTAGCGCTGTAGCCGGCGTAGCTCCTGCAGAAGGATCAGAGAGTTAGAAGCAACCTCCTTTTGCCCAGAAAGGGCCTCTGCCTTTTCCACGCGAGGTCCTCCTCCGCCCCCCTTCCCCGTCCCCCATGGACACACACACACACACACACAAGAGGCTCGCGGACGATCCGAAGAGGCCGGCCGGAGAACCGCAGCTGTGGGTGTTTAGGTTGAGGATTCTTAAATTCACGGTTGGGGCTTGGGCTTTCTCAGGATTGAAGAATGGTAGGGCTGAGGATCTTGCAGCAGCCACTCGGCTTGATTTGGGTGCAGCGTTGCGGCGGATCTTGTAGCCACTCGGCTTAAAGTCGCCGGGAGGAGTTATCCGACTTGGCCTCAAGACAGACTCAGAAATGCTACCCTTCGCGGCTCGTGTCAAATCGATCAGGCTGCCCGGTTCCCAAAACCTTTGGTGGATTGCATGATGATGCGTTTGCAAGCCTGAGATCCAGGAGGTGGAGTCAAACTGTTGAGTAATGCACTAGTGCACAGCCACCGGACCCTTCCTGAGTCCCAGACCCGATACATCCCGAAACCAGAGTAACCAGAGAGCATCGACAGACGGCGAATCTCCTACGCCTCGGAGCTCGGCTCCTTGCCGAGAGCCGGAGCCTATGAGGATGTTGACTCATGTTGACTCGGCCGACACTTGAAAGTCCTGGGATGCAGGCCCAGGGGTGCCAAGCGGCGGCTAGGGTCCACGTCCAAATGTCTCCGAGGACCATTTCTCAAGTAAGATGCGTCGCCTGGATGTGTCCGTTCTCATAAGTTCTCCGTAGGCTTTGGGAAGTCCGCACCGTCTCAGCACAGATCACCTTCTTTCCAGCACGTTTTGGCTCAGGGCTGACCTTTGCACTTCCAAACTCCGAGAAGCATGTGCCCCATTATCCCCAGGCCTTGCGCGCACGGCCGCGGTTGGGCGGCGCACCGCGGACGAGGCCATCTCCGCTGCGCTGAAGGCCGGGTAGGAGTTTCGGTGGGGTGGTGGGGAGAGTCGGGAAGAGCGCTGATGGCGGCAAACGCGTCCGAAGGGTTAACAAGCCCAGCATAGGCCCTGGACCTCCACCGCGGCATGATCATGCTTGACGTGGAGGCCCGGAAGGCGCGCAGAGTTGGAGGAAGGGTTGGACGAGTGGGTTGAAGGTGAGGTGGGTTCGGGGTTTACAGGGCTTCTGCATGCACACGCGGATGCGGATAATTATGTTCATGTACCCCAAATCCCTAGAGACGGACTTCAATTGACCTGAGAAGTTCTCTCCCACCGTGAGAGCAGAAATGCAAACCTTCTGTCAGGTACGATGGTGTAATGTGATGAGGAAAAGCCCTTTACGATGGAAAGCGCGGTGCGATCAGACCATCAGAACTAAACGCCTCATGCCTCCAAAGCTGCACAAAACCACCGAGACCCTTTTCCACCCCTTTGCCCAGCAAATTGCATCAAACCCAAAGCCTCCAGGAGCGCGAGCGTCTCTCCCGCCGGCAGCGTTTCGACGACGACGACGGGCCGGTTGCTGCTGGAGTAATGAACTCAGAAAGACTTAGGGGTAAGGCATCAGATTTTCTTATTGAGGCCGCGGAGGAAGGCTCCGGTTTCTACTACGTCGTATGCCTCGTTGAAGCCGAATGCAAGTTTCAAATCCATACCGACAACTTCTTGGCCGTACTAGGTGCATGGTCCGAACCCAGCTGTCTACAATGCTGCATCCGTCCCCGTAACGTCAAGGAAACGCAGTTATCTCAGATGCATCAGGAGAATTCTGGAGTCGGGCATTCGCAGGGTCGCAACCACGAAGGGGCTTCACGTCCCAGTCCCAGGATGCGGAGCGACCGAAGGACCCCGCGAATGCGAACGGTGCCCCAGAGTCGTGCGGTTTCGGAGGGAAGAGGAGGAGAGTTCAGTAGTGAGAACTTGCAACGTGAAAAACTGAGCGGTTAGAGACACGTCATCTTGGATCGTTGATGATCGTCTTGGTTGTTCGCAGAGCTGAATAGGGGATTTGGTTGTCACTAGCAACCGGGTGTGCCGTCCACTGCTAAGGGGCTTTCTGATTCTCTGCCACCCGGGGCGAAGGCTCAGAAGCCGGTGCGCAGTGCCAACGCAAAACGCAGAACCGGCGCAGAAACATGCCAACCCGGCTGCAAGCCTTGAACACCCTAGAGGGCCAAAAAAAAACCCGAAATCCTGTCAACGGCCATGCCAACTACTTACAATGACTAAGCCTAACAACAACCTCAAGCCTGGCCCGATGCGCTTGCCATGCCATGGATCTGGATGACGCCCTTGCCTCTCTGGCAACGCGGCGAGGGGGAGTGCCCCTCGAACTGGTTCTATCCCGAGGTACCCGGTATGAGCGTGTCAACGTGGCGGTCACATGCGGTAACGCTGGGAGAGGTTGCACTTGGGGGACTTGGGGAATGTCAATTGGATTCTTTTTTGTTTTCCTTGTTCCACCTAGGAAGCTCACCTTTTTGTTTAAGGTTACATTTTGTGAATGCGAAGCCCTTGAACGCCCCTTCGACGGCCCCTTCCAGCCTCGGCGACCCCCCCGAGGCCGGCGCTGCGTGCGCTGCGCGCGGCGCTTCCCGGGGCGGCGCCGAGGCCCTGGCCGTGGCCGTGGCCCTTGCCGTGGCCCCTTCCTTTCGCCTCGCCTTGCCTTTTCTTGAGTTCTCTGGCTTGTTCTCTTCTCGCTTTGTCATTCGCCAGGGCGTGTTGAGCTTTGGGAAGCGAATTGAGGTATGGCTGCTGAGCAGTCGCCCCGACTCGATGTTGTAAGTGCTCGTCTAGCATGTGGACGACAAATAGACGTATCGTTTATCCTGTGAGGCACAGCTTGAACCCAACTCGCCACAGACATCTCCCGATTCACATTGTCTTCTTGACAAAATTTGCTTCTCGACGCTCATCCCTCGGACGTCCCTCTGAGAACTCCGAGAACTCCGTATCCTGACCCTGACTGCAGAGTCACAGGCTGCGCCGGAGTCTACATGTGCTCGCCCCACTCTGCTGTTCAGGCAGCTCCCGGGGAGTTTGAGTTGAGGCTTTGGAAAGGGACAGGGAAAGGGACAGGGAAAGGGAAAGAGAAGGAGAAAGAAAGAGAAAGACACAGAGAGAGGGAGAGATAAGAGATGTGTAAATTGCTTGGGCGGGGGCCTCTCTCCGCTGTGTAGAAGAAGAAGAGATAGACCTTGGCAAAGACCCCAAGCTGGCCCAAACAGCCCGAAAGCCTGCTCCCCCTGGTGCCAGATGATGCTGCTGTGGCGGAGGAAGCGGAGGCGCTGCTCGAGGCACTGCAGCCGAAGGAGGCATGGAGACTTGTAAGTCTCCCAGCAAGGTGCATGAGAGCCACAGTGCTACAGACTTGGTCTGCCCCAGTTGGCAGGCAAGCTTCGCTGGGGGTGCCCGGCACTTCTCTTGGCGCGGACTCGAGGCTGGATTGAGGTTACGGGCTCCGAAGAAGCTACTTTTAGACATTCTCCAATACCTTGAACCTCGGAGTCGGAGAGAAAAAAAAGAATTGCCCCAAGGCCCTAAACCCAGAAGCCGATCGCACAGAAACGGAGGCTTTTCGATGCAGACAAAAAAGCACTCCGCAATTGCCTGTCGCACCTTTTGCACTCCCACCGACTTCGCATGGAAAAAAACTGAGCCCGCAGCCGTGCATATTGGGAGAATCGGGGGCATCCCGAATTCCGGTGTTCATCCGGGGAGATTCCCCGGAGGTGGACTTCTACGAGCTGGACGAGGACCCTGGAGACCTGCTCTTCGGCTACGGCCTGTGGCCTGCCAACCGGGCTGCAAGAGTGTACCACAAATCTCGGACCAGGGAGCTGAGGTTCTGCTGAGGTTGTGAGACAAGTCATGCCACAACCCCAATGCCTCGTGGCATGACTGCACTATACTACACTTCTCGTACTTGAAATCCTCCCAAATCCCCAGAACGACGCCGAAGCTCGTCCTCAGCGTTTGAAAAAAATGATCGGCGGCTCCTTTTCTCCTCTTGAGGTCGCTTCCTCCCTTGCAAAGTTGCTGGCCAACGCCGTGCTGGATGGTCAGGCAGGATACTAGGGCGAGACGGAGAATTTAGATGAGAGTTAGAGGAGTTGGAGGTGTTAGGCCGTTAGGCCGGATTAACAAAGTTGTGATGCTCCTCCCATCATAAAGTTCTTCTGCTCCCCCCCCCCCGCAATATTCCGAAAGGTGAAGCCAGCGCCTCCCAACCAGACTCAGTCGTGAGCATATGTGAGTCATTATGTGAGATTTTGTGAATATGTGCTTGGTTCACCGGTTTGGCCGCTTAGGCATCCCAATACTCAGAAGCAAACTCCCAGAGCACGGCCACAAGCCATCACTCCTCGGGGCCCAGGCCGCAGGGAGCCCGGTTCCGTCCGTGCAGGCCGGGACTCAGCTTCCTTGAATTCGTGGACTTTTCTCAAGGACTCAAGGGTTCTGTTAAGGGGCTTGGCCTCAGACAGCCACACTCATGGACACTCATGGTGCTCGGGCATGGAAAGGAGCTCCGTTTCGTCTCTAAGTCCCAGCAATGCTGCATCCTGTCGCTTTTTTTGAATCTAGGAGCCAGCACAAAGACTCTAAAGCCCTGTCCCCCATTTAAAGAGCATTCCTCTTGGAGAGAAGGAACGGTAGGAACCATATAGCAGCTTAGCAGAATTCCTCTTCCTTCCCCCCCGAAACGCAGAGGGCAAGTCCGTCTTGGAGATCGGAGCCTCGGGGCCGAACACGAGAGAGAGATGCCGCCCCTTTTTGCTTTTTCAGGCATTCAGGAGGGGGACGATTTTTCCTCACCTTAGGGGCTCTCTACTAGCAGTAGTGGGGGGGGGGCTGCTTCTTCTTCTTCTTCTTCTTCTTCTTCTTCTTCTTTTTCTTTTCTTCTTCTACTTCTTCAACGTGTGTGTGTGTGTGCGCGCATGCGCGAGAGTCCGAGTCGTTTGTTCTTTGAAGTTCTTTTTGCTGATCTCAAGAGTTCGTGCCCCTACTCGTGCTACACAGGTGCGTGGTGAGTCTTTTTTATGAGTTGAAGACTTTCAGAGAGGCTTTTCAGCTGAAGGACCCGGCGGGTCCTGTGAACGTCGTCGGCCTTGTGCCTCATGCGTGATCCTACACAGGACAACAGAAGACCCTGCGTTCCACAAAAAAGCGGGTGCCGAACTGTCCAACACTATCTAAGTCTTGCCACGTTTCCCAAACCAAACCATCTTTAAACCCTTTCAAAGGCCCCGGGGCTCACCCGACACGTCTCAAGAAAAGATCAGGACATCCCTGCGCCCCCTGCAGCAGAACTGTGCCAAGGCGCCGGCGTCGGCCTGCCCTCGCTGGTCTGCCGAGCGCTCGGCGCTGCCCAGGCTGTGGGAATCCAGCTCGGACCCAGATATATCATTAATATGAAATTTACAGAAATGTATATATATATATATATATACATACATATATATGATTCAGCCCCGGCGGGCCCCCCCCCCCCCCCCCCGCCCCCCACCCCGCCCCGCCCCCCCCCCCCCCCATGGTTCCCCCCCCCCCCCCCCCCCCCCACCCCCCCCCCCCCAATGGTTTCCCCCCCCCCCCCCCCCCCCCCCCCCCCCCCCCCCTGTGGTGTTTGGTTGGGGCTTAGGGTTTTTAGGTGTTTTAGGGTTTTAGGGTTTAGTTTTAGGTTTTAGTTTAGGTTTAGGGTTTTAGGGTTTTAGGGGGTTTTAGGGTTTTAGGGTTTTTAAGGGTTTAGGGTTTTTCCCCGCGGATGGGGTACTAAGATGATCCCCCCCCCCCCCCCCTGTGGTGTGGTTGGGGGTTGGTTTTAGGGTTAGGGTTTAGGGTTCAGGGTTTTAGGGTTTAGGGTTTAAGGTTTAAGACTTAAGGTTTAGGGTTTAGGGTTAGGGTTTAGGTTTTAGGGTTTAGGGTTTAGGGTTTACGGTTTAGGGGTTTAGGGTTTAGGGTTTAGGGTTTAGGGTTTAGGGTTTAGGGACCGTAGAGTAGGCTTGGGGGGGGGGGGGATACCATGGGGGGGGGGGGGGCCCAGGACGCTCGACGCTGAACCATATATACATAGATAGTACCCCCCCGAGGGCCTACCTTGTTAAAACTTTTCCTGGTGAGGTCCTCTGGGTTCATAATAATTGTATGGATTACATGACTCTGACGAAGTAAACAAGATATATAAGCCATACTAGTTGTAAGAGTTCTGCCGGTATTCCCCCCACACGCACCAAATTCAAACTGTACAAGACAGGAAAGTGAAGCATGCAAGTGCACAGGGAGTCTCCCTCTTTTTGCTGCAACGGGCGTGTGTGCTCGTCTACCTCCAGAACTCTACGTTATCCCTAGCCAGGAAGGTATGTTTATTTGTAGCGGCTATATGAAGTAAATAGTGTTCGCCAGAAGAGTCCGGTTTTGTCGAGCCGGCTCGAACCACCCCCGCCCCTCCCAATAAAAGAAACAAACAACAACAAAAGTACAACGAGAAGAAAGGAAAACCAAAACAACCCAACAGGGTTTCCAGGCTCCCTTGTCTTACCCTTGCAAACGTCAATCAACAATGCTCAGAAGGTAGGTCCTGAGGGAGGGGTAGCATATATATATATATATAGAAATGATAAGGATAATATCTATACATGTATATATATATATATATATACACATGCATACATACATATGTATATATAAAAAAGAATATTCATAGATAGATAGATAGATATATATATATATATATATATAAATAATTGCTGCCCATGCTCGTTGTTTTGCGTAGTGTTCTTTGTGTGTGGCATGTGGTGACGTACTGAGCAGTCGCAGTGAGATGCCGTTGCTGATTAGAACATTGCATCATCAGCGCAAGCCCTGCGCAAGCGCAGAACCCTTGACGAACACTCTCCCCAAAACATGCCGCCGCGCCACGGCGCCACCACACCCCAAGATTGGAAAGCAGGTAACGCTTACAGATGCGGAAGAGCGCTTGGTGAACGCCCTCCAGGTTGGTCTGGGACCGCGTTCCGACCATAAGGTGAGGGAGGTGATGGAGAGTTCCGGTAGGTTTTATTTGATTTGTTTGCCGCGAGCAGTATTTTGCAGTATGTTCTGAGGAGTCGGCGCATGCTAGCGAGTATTGGTGCAGAATAGCTCCCTCTTAATCTAGAGATCTTCGAAGCACCTTTGCAGCATCCGTGCGGAGCTTTCAAAGCCAGAGGGAACGGACCCCACATCCCTAAACCCCACAAAAAATGCGCAGGAACACCACGGCCACCACCCCGAGCTGCGCTTTGCGGTGCTGGACTGGAAGGTCGATGCAGGAGGGGTCATGTCTTCGCAGGGCGCACGAACTTCCCGACTGTGGCCCGTCCGTGTGCATTTCAGGTCTTGGTCTGCAGGGAAATCGAGCTTTGCGCCCTAAGACGGAGGCCTCTAACAGACAAAAGATTCGGAAGAAGCGACTCCCATCGGAAGGAGAGGAGTCGTACGACGTGATCCTTGCCTCGGACATTCTGCTCGCCTGCTGTGAGGTGCGGTGCAAGCTTCAGGGTCTGTCAGTGGACTCCTGTAAGGTCCTGTGAGGTCCAAGGCATGTCGGCTGGATGTCGGCTCAACATCCACCCCTCAAGCATGGAAGTTGGCCCAACGCCCACCTCTCAAGCATGCACGTTGGCCCAACGCCCATCCCTCAAGCGTGAATGTTGGTCCAGCATCCGCAACATCCACCCCTTAGGCGTGGATGTTGGCGCAACATCCATCCTCAGGCATGGACGTACCCCTCAAGCGTGCGGCGTGCGCCGGGCGCGCGCTACTCTCGATTGCGCGAATTTTCCTGTCACATATGTTTGTGATATGCTGACCAAGATCGGACTTGGTCATGATTGCCTGACCTCCAACGATGATGGTGTCCAAGTCGTCATGGCCAGAACGGCCACCTTCTTGATTTCACGAGGTTGCTGTCACGTATATGTCTGTGATATACTGGCCAAGATCTGAATATTGCCTGACTTCCAAGGCCCATCTCCGAGCATTTTTTGAACATATCCATTCCAAGTCCTCGCAGGAGTGGTCTTCGTCGTTCCCGTATGCGGTATCATCATACCTCAGAAGTCTAGGGCTTCATACTAAATCTTCAATTTTCTTACATCTATTCAAAAAACATGGCCACATATATAAGTATATGTACTCATACATGTGTGTAACCCTTCTCTCTTCTCTCTCCTCTCTCTTCTCTCTCTTTTCTCTTTTCCTTCTCTCTTCTCTCTCTCTCTCTCCCTGTCTCTTCTCTCCTCTCTCTCTCTCTCTGCCCTCTCTCTCTCTCTCTCTGTGCCCTCTCTCTCGCTCTCTCACTCTCTCTCTCTCTCTCTCTTTTCGCCCTCTCGCTCTCGCTCTCGGCAATCGCATGATTAAGTTTGTCCAGGGCCCGATCTTCGTGCCCCGGCTCGTTGGCCGGCGGCTGCGCCGAAGCCCGGAGGCTTGGGCCTTTGAAACTTTGCTGAGTTTGCAATGGGCTCATTGGGCATGGCGTGGCTTCGGCTAGCTTAAATCGACTTCCAACCACAGAAGCCACAAAGGTCGCGCAGAAACCCAGGCGCCCCACGCACCCGCAGCATCTGGAAAAAAACACAAAAATCACACGCTCACTAAAGTCGCAAGTTCCGCGTCACCGAGGCTCGAGCGCTGCTGCTGAATGCGCACCGGGGGGAAGCGTCTCAAGCGAAGCTTGGCTCGAGGGTCATCTGCGGGCGTTCATGCCTAGCGGTTTTGCAGAAGAGAAACCTTCGCCCAGAGAACCTGAGCCCCAAGACGCCCAAGCCATCTCCCGTGCTCCCATGGCAATGTTTCTTGTTGATTCGAAGCATCTTTTCACCTTCAAGGTAAGGCAGCCATTTGAATCGAGAATGAGCCTTTTAATTGAGACACCCCAAAAAATGGAACGTATCAGACATCCTGTCACTGAGAACTTTATGAATGCACGCGAACATGGCTCGCGGGAAGGGTTATTTTCTTCTGCGGTAATTAGGCCCGCGGATTGGATATTTTGTCAGGAAAAAGCAGCCACATTGTGGTGGTCCAAGCACTTCCCTTTGAATATCCAAGCACTTCCCATTGAACATCCAAAGGAAACTCTTGTCCTGGTACTCTCATATTCAGATTCTGGCGCCTTGCCCTTAGTGCTCTCCCTTCAAGGTACATCTGTGGGTTGGGTACCTTCGCAAAGAATCCAAATAATGACAGTACTACAGTACATCCCAACTGATTGTGCGCTCGAAAAAGTAGCAGAGGCCTGCATAAGGCATGTTTCGGCTTGCTTCAGCTTCGGCACACTTAGACGGCATTCCGAATACTCCAAGTCTGTTCCATCCCAAGCACAAGTACAAGGACTGCAATGAACGAGATGCGCAAGCAGGGTTTCATCGTCTCGTGTTTCGCGGTGACGTCTTCACAGGACTGCGTATGGTGGATTGTGCAGTGGATGTCTCCCAAAGATTGCCAAGCACAGCGACCAAACCACACGATCCCGAATGATGCCAAGCCTCGAACTACGACACGAGACGTCCGAGACTTGTTAGGCATTTGGCAAGCAAGGCATAGGGGCGGAGCCTTCCAGAGCTGCTCTTAAGCCTCAAGAACTCTGAGGAGTGAACGTGCGCGAATTCACCTGCAAACCCTTCTTGAGCCTCCAGACGTGAGACCCTAAAATTCCCTAAATTCCCTGACTGCACCCCACGCCCCGCATCCCGGCCTCTCGGCCTCTGTGAGCCATTGAGCGAGAGGAGCTGCGTGCCGTCTCCGAGGAGCGCCTCGCAGCTCTACCGCAGGCCTCTTGGGAGTGCAGGCTTTTCTCTCTTCCTTCTCTGCACAAGGCACAAGGCCGCCCCCTCTTTTCATCCCGGGATATGCGCTCTGACATGTCCTCGAAGCCCGTCTCGGAATTTTCGTCACCATGACCTTAGAAGCGGTCCTGAGAGCAACCCCGCTGCTATAATGTAGCTGTACTGAACCCGAAACAATCATCAGGGCTCGCAGCTCCTGCTCGCAGCAGCCTGGCCCGCCGAGTCCGAGGCAGTGTTGGGTCCCTTCGGAATGTGAATGTGGCGACAGGTGCCTTTCTTCTGCTTCTGCTTATTTCATTTTCCTGCAAGGCTGCTTCGGTTTCTGCTTCCATTCATCAGCTCTCAGCCTGAGATGACTTTCACGCAGGAGACGGCTGATTCTGCAGCTGATGGCTGCTGAGAGCCTCAGAGCATCTCACAGCTGGCGGCGCGAAGGAAACAACTCCCAGTAGGATCTTAATCAGATGCTGGTAGAGCTTTGGCGTCTACGGTACGTTTGCATAACTCAACATCAAGCACGTAACGCTTGCCCTACATAGCTAAATGCTGTAGACATTGCTCGACGACGGAGCCGTTTGAATCAGTTTGCCGTCCCAAGACCGTTGAGTCCCTTACCACCTCGCTGAAGGGTCTCCTCAGTAGCACCTGAAAGGTACTCAATTGGAGCTCGTCAAAAACATTTCGACGATTCAAATCCTTCAGGGTGTTGAGCGCCGACATGGTTGGTCCATAGCACCTAGCCGGACGAAAATCCCGACACAGACCCCACAGACCCCACAGACCCCACAGACCCCACAGACCCCACAGACCCCACAGACCCCGAACCCTCGACTTCCTTCGACATTCTTGTCGCGCACGGGCCGCCTCCATCTCTGTCGCAGATGGCCCGGCGCTCGGTAGTGATCCAGGGCTTCCGATTGCCGATCCTTCCGGCAATTGTAAAGGGGAAGGCCCGAAACTTGCGAACTTTGTGTTTCCAGGAGGTTGGTTCCGAAAGCTGACTTAAGCTCTACACCCTACCGCTATACAGCACCGATGCCCTGTTGAGCCTGGCATGCGAGATCAAGCTCTACTTGGTACCTTCTCGAGCATGTCCAGCTGTGTCAGAGTAAACCATCGTTGTTACAGCCCGCGTGCAGTTTGCCGCACTTGCCACAAATATCTCCGTCTTGACACGGATCTCCTCTGTTACAGCTGGTCTCTGCCATCCCCTGGGCAATTGCTTTGTGAGCCTTCAGGCCATGACAGGCAAGGGCCTCCTCCTGGCTCCTTGCCACCCTTTGCATTCTCACGCTGAGATGCGTCAGGAGACAAGCCAGACGAGGAGAGCTCTATGAAGCAAAGAGTCCCCGCCTCCCCCCCGCCTCCCCCCCTCTCCCAGGCCCGGAATGCCCCGCGCAGCGCGCGCGGCGCTGCGGCCGGCGCTGGCCGCTGCAGAGGGAGTGCAGTGGGCAGAGAGCGGAGAGCGGAGAGCGGAGAGCAGATTGCTTTTTTTTGCACCTTAGCTAGTATTGGCCCTCAGACATCTGAAGACTTGCTGGCTTGGGGTTGCTTTGGTGTAGCATGTTGGTGTTGGGCATTGTGGGAGTGCCTGTTGGGCTTTAGAGTTCGTACAGAATATATAGTGGCAGTATGATGGGCCAGGCCATGACTGGTCGTGATGGCGCTGTCAGTTACTTGGGAGGTTGCAAGCATTTGCAAGTGCTTAGGCTTGTTTGGAATCTGGAATGTCGCAAAGCGGCTTGTGGGCTAGATGTGTGCGGGTTGTTGCGATTGTTTGCGTGTCGGGCAGCTGGGTCGTTTTTGAGTCTTCTACAGTACAAGCTTGTCTGGTGATGTGCCACTTTAAATTGAAGACGGAGACCAGGTGTGCCGTCTGAAGGATGTCTTTTGAGTTTGCCAACCATTCTGGCATGGTTCACGGGTTTGGGTGTTGTGCAAATTGTGCAAATTGTGCAGGTGGGTGCAACGCTTTCGCGAAGTTGGTCACCTCTGGGCGAAGCTGGATCCCTGCCATGCACTGACATGCGCTGACATGCACTGACATGCACTGCCTTCACTTTATCTGGGACATGTGCAGTCACGGTAAAGAATGCGCTAATGATCCAAATAGAGTCTAGATGAAATGAACATGTCCTGCCTGAATGGTCAGGTCTCGTGGTGTTAGGCTTTCGGCGGCTTTAGGGTCGCAGTGGTAGCACAGTGGCAGTGCCGAATGAGAGACAGCCGAGTGCCAGATTGCATGCACGGCAGCCGGCCTAATCTCTACAGTGCCCTGGGCCCTAATTGAAACCTGAGCTTGATCCCCCCCCCTCCCGGGAAGCCCTGGCAAAACCCCGAAGCCCCGACGAAGTGCGCGGTGACAAAGCCCAAGCGACACCGACCAAAGTAACAAAACACGATTCAGAGCAGCCTTACACAGGATCCAGAGCCAGAGCGTGCAATTTGGACGAGGGCTCACAAGAGGATTCACGAGAGCCGCATCCAGGACCCGCTTGGCCGCTGCCGCGGATCACTGGCACGCTGCCCGGACTGGTGGAGCGAGGCGCAAGGGTTTCAAAGAGAGCGTTTCGAGAGCGTTCTTTCAATGTTTATTTTCAATATTATGTATGTTTTTTTTGGTTTTTGTTTGGGGGGGGGGGGGGGGGGGGGGTTTGGCAGGGAAAAATCAGCTCAACTTGGTGCCCGTGTGCACCCTGCTTTCGGTTGTAATCTACAAAGTGGCACGGGAGCTGTATCCTTAAAAATGAAACCTACTTGATCAGATGGGATGATGGCCACGTCTGTGTGCTACAGCGCAAAAAAGAGGATGCCACAATTCCCACAGTAGTTTAAGGTCACTTCTCCAAGGTTCTCGAAGTTAAGCCGAAAGGCTCGTCGAGGTTTCAGTCGCTCAGGATGGTTTGGTAGCCTCAAGAGCTTCCTCTAGCCGTGAAGCATGTGCTGGATATTGTCAAGGACCAGGCTCACGTGGAGCATCCGCTGCTGGGCTGACTTATACCCTGAGTTGCTGAATTGCTGCGGCATCGCGGACGTTGCAAAGGGTGGCCTCGGTTCCCCTTCCGACTTTGCAGCATCAGCCGTGCAGCGGAAATGAGGGTTTACCAGCACTGGGATGGGTTACACCGGGATTCCTGGCAGCCATGGCAGCAGCGCTGTGTCGCAGGCCGCAGGCACAGCAAGCCACTGATCCGAGGCTCACCGGTTCCACGCCCTCGGCGCCCTCCACGCCCCGTCGGCTCTTCGTGCCGAAGGGGCTGCTGCACGCAGCCGCTGGGCCGCACCTGGCCCAGGGAAGGGCCGCTCAGGGCGAGAGGGGGATTCAGGAGTGTAGCTTGATTGTGCTCGTACCTAATGTCGCAGAGGACTGACGACAGGCTGCTCGGATTTTGAGGTATCATGTTTGATTATAAGGCATGTCGGCTGGCTTCCGAGGCCCATGAACGCCGCCTTAAACTGAACCCTGCCACTGTTCTCCTTGTGGCCCTGCATGGAAGTGTACTTGGCAAGGCCATACTGAGTAACTTGGCATAGCACCGATGAAAATGTCGCGTGTAGACCGCAAAGGCTCTGCCCTTATGCTCCGTGCCCCGTACCATCCCGTCCTGCCATCCCGTGCCACGTGGTAAACTGCTCTGTCGTACATTGGTCTTGGTCGTATGAGCTGCGTTGAAGTTGCTGCTGCTGTCGAGGAGGGTGGCCCTTGGTGGAGCCGCGAGGAGCTCCTGCACCTTCTCGAGGCGACAGAAGACGCCGACAGCGACAACAGCAGTTGCAACAACAGCAACAACCCACACCAACAACAGCAACAACAGCAGCAACACCAAAGCGAGTGACTGTCAAGTAAGGAACTCCCACGAGTCGATAACAAGAAAGCCATGAGTCAGAAACGCCTCGGACTTCACAAAGAAAACCCGAAGGTCCTCAAAGCTCATCATTTTGATGTCAAGGGTTAGGGCTTTAGGGTTTTTAGGGAGTTTGAGCTAGGGCCCGGAAGTCCTGAAAGCTTCTGATCTCGAAGGTTTTGGGTTTAGGGTTGTTTGGGGTTTTGGGGTTTTTGGTTTATATTTTTAAGTTTTTAGGGTTTCAGGGATGCGCTCCTCCTTCGGACACAAAGGCTTCTAAGGCCTATGAGGTGTGGGGTCATGTAGGTAGAACGTGTTTTTGTGGTTCATGACTTCACGGTTTTAGGGGGTGAGCAGATGACTCGGTTTCGTCATGTATAGCTTGAGCGTGTGCCGTTGTTTAGAGCATCATTTGTATGTACCGATGCTGTTACTGCCTACAGAGCGCTCTGGGACAGCAGTGGGCACTGCGCTAGCGTGCAATTGCCAAGGGCGGACGCTCTAGGCCTTTAGGCCAATATCGGCGCGAGGACGTCCGGACTCGCAGAAAAACGTTGCTGTGCTTGGGGAAGGGCGAAAGGTGCCTGAGGTTTACAATGTCATGGAGGAGTATCCCCACGCAGTGTCAGACGAAGAAACTGCGTGGAAGAATGTGATTTATCCTATCCTGAGGGGGCCGGCGAGGCTATTCAACTTGCACGCGTGGCAAGGGCAAGCTGGCAAGGCAAGAAGGGTTTCCCCGTGATCAAATCCAGCTTGTCAATCGAGGATAGGAAGAAGCGGTTGCAGTAGATCAAAAGCCGATCAAAATGCCTGAAGTGCGGTCAGGTAGGTCGCTGGTGCCCGAAAGGAAGAAGGCCGAAAGCACAGCCGAAGCCCACGCCCCAAACGAAGCAAGCCTATGAGGAAGACCTGTCAGTATCCAGCTCAGATGAAGAATGCGCGTGTTTCGGCAACGAGTCGGATGCTACAGACACCGGCAATGCCATGGCCGCGTATATGGGATAGGGATAGGTCTCCGTCCTCGTATCCTTCACCGCGTAGGGGAACGTGGGGTGATGGGATGAGGGATCACCCGCCGCCTGGGGGTGACAAGATCTTCACGTTCGGACATCGCAATGGGCTTTCCTATGAGGAGGTATAGCGTTTAAAAGCTCAACCTAGCAGATTTCTCATCACGGGTTCAGAACTACTATGAGACCGCCCCAGACATGGAAGTGTTGCGCCGAGAAACACCGCTTGACCCCCGCCACTTCCAACGACAAGTGCAAGTTCGGGGTCTCAGCAAGCGCCGGCGTCTTCAAGCCACAAGACAGCCAAGAAGAAGCCCCCGAGCCCTCCGTTGGCCCAGAGTTGCGCGGAACGCAAAGACTTCTCGAAGCTTGGCAGGAACGCGTGCTTTGAGGTATTGACTTGCAAGGATTGTGGCAAGGTGCAGCCACAAGAAGAGGCCACACGACGCCAACGGACAGCAAAGAGCATCGAGACTGCGAGCTCTACATCCTTTGATCTGGTGAATCTGGTGTCAAATGTGTACTCGAGCATCCTTAACAAAGCCGAGTTTGGTGCCGAGGAAGCTGTGAGAGTGCTTGATGAGTTCAGGGGAACGGTTGAGGACCACATGCTTTCTCAGTTGGGCGCAGCCCTCACTTGACTTACTCTGCAACACACATGTGTGTGTGCTCACAGCAGTAACTGGTCTGCCAAAGTTGTTGAATGCACAAAGCCCTCAAATGACTCCTTCATTAGCTTATTCTGCAACACACACATGTGTGTGCTCGCAGCAGCAATTGGTCGGCCGACCCTCAATTGACTTGTTCTGCAACACACATGTGAATGTGCTCACAGCGTGCCGTGGGCATACACATGTATGTGTGTTCTGAATAAGTCAATTGAGGGTCGCGACAATTGCTGCTGTGCGCAGCCACGCACTTGCGTGGCGCAGAATAAGTCAAGTCGAGGTTTTGAGCGTTCAGAAAAATTGCAGACCAATTGCCGCTGCGAGCACACACACATGTGTGTGTTTTGCAGAACAATTCAACGAAGAAGTCATTTGGGGGCTTTGGACATTCAACAATTTTGGCAGATCAATTGCTGCTGTGAGCACACACACACACACACACACACACACACACACACACACACACACACACACGCGTGTTGCAGAATAAGGCAATTAAGGGTTGCAGCCAAGGGTCAAGGGTTGGCCGACCAATTGCTGCTGCCAGCACACACACATGTGTTTTTGACCCTTAAAGGAGGTTTCTGACCCTGGCCGAGGGTTGACCGACCAATTGCTGCTGTGAGCACATTTGAAGGCTCTGAACATTCAACAACTTTGGCAGACCAGTTGCTGCTGTGAGCTCAGAACATGTGTGTTGCACAATAAGCCAACGAAAAGCCGTGGAAGAAATCATTTGAAGGCTTTGAACATTGAACAACGTTGGCAGACCAATTGCTGCTGTGAGCACGCACACACATGTGTGTGTAGCAGAATAAGTCGAGTGAGGGTTTTACTCAAGGGCGAAGGGTTGGCCGACCAATTGCTGCTGTGGGCATGCGCATGTGTGTCTTGAAGAAGTCAAATGAGGGTCACGACAATTGCTGCTGTGAGCACACACATGTGTGGTGCAGAAAATGCGAATTGGAGGCTTGGAACATTCTGAAAATTTTGCAGACCAGTTGCTGCTGTGAGCACACACACATGTGTGTTGCAGATCAAGGCAATTGAGGGTTGGCCAACCGTTCGCTGCTGTGAGCACACACACCTGTGTGCTGCAGAAAAAGCCAATAACGTTCAACAACTTTGGCAGACCAATCGCTGCTGTGAGCACACACACACATGTGTGTTGCAGAATGAGGCAATGAAGGGTTGCGCCCAAAGGTTAAGGATCGGCCGACTAATTGCTGCTGCGGGCATACACATGTGTGTTTCGTGAGCGCACATATGTGCGGCGCCAAAAAAGCTTGAAGGTTTTGGGCATTAAAAAAACTTTCCAGACCAATAGCTCAACCCTTGACCCTTGCGTGCAACCCTCACTTGTGATTTCTTCTGCAACACACATGTTGTGTGCTCCCAGCAGCAGTTGGTCTGCCAAAGTTGTTGAATGTTCAAAGCCCTCAAATGATTTCTTCGCTGACTTATTCTGCAAAACACATGTGTGTGTGCTCAAAGAAGCAATTGGTTGGCCAGCCCTCCATTGATTTCTTCTGCGCCACACATGTGTGTGCTCGCAGCAGCAATTGTCGTGAACCGACTTATTCAGAACACACATGTGTATGCCCGCAGCAGCAATCGGTCGGCCAACCATTGGCCCTTGGGTGCAACCCTCACTTGCGACTTCTTCTGCAGCACATGTGTGTGTGTGTGTGCTTACAGCAGCAATTGATCTGCCAAAATTGTTGAATGTTCAAAGCCCCCAAATGACTTTACTTCTTCATTGACTTAAGCTGCAACACACATGTGTGTGTGCTCACAGCAGCAATTGGTCTGCCAAAGTTCTTTTGAACGTTCAAAACCTCGACTTGACTTATTCTGCGCCACACATGTGTGTGTGTGTGCACAGCAGCAACTGTCGTGACCTTCAATTGACTTATTCAGAAACACACGTGTGTATGCCCTCAGCAGCAATTGGTCGGCCAACCATTGACCCTTGGGTGCAACCCTCACTTGTGACTTCTTCTGCAGCTCACAGCAGCAATTGGTCTGCCAAAGTTGTTGAACGTTCAAAGCCCTCAAGTGATTTCTTCACTGACTTATTCTGCAACACATGTTGGTGTGTGTGCTCACAGAAGCACTTGGCTGGCCAGCCCTCCATTGATTTCTTCTGCGCCACACATGTGTGTGCTCGCAGCAGCAGTTGTCGTGAACTGACTTTTTCAGAACACACATGTGTGTGTGCCTGCAGCGGCAATCGGTCGGCCAACCCTTGACCCTTGGGTGCAGTCCTCGCTCGACTTATTCTGCAACACACATGTTGTGTGCTCACAGCAGCAATTGGTCTGCCAACGTTGTTGAATGTTCAAAGCCTTCAAATGATTTCTTCGTTGGCTTTTCATTGGCTTTTTCTGCAACACGCATGTTGTGTGCTCACAGCAGCAATTGGTCTGCCAAAGTTGTTGAATGTGCAAAGCGTTCCAATGACTTCTTCATTGACTTGTTCTGCAAAACACATGTGTGTGTGCTCACAGCACCAATTGGTCGGCCAACCCTCGGCCAGGGTCAGAAACCTCCTTAAAGGGTCAACACACATGTGTCTTCCAAATGACTTCTTCATTGACTCATTCTGCAACACACATGTGTGTGTGCTACAGCAGCCATTGTCGTGACTCCAATTGACTTGTGCCCGCAGCAGCAATTGGTCGGCCAACCGTTGGCCCTTGGGTGCAAACCTCACTTGCGACTTCTTCTGCAGCACATGTGTGTGTGCTTACAGCAGCAACTGATCTGCAAAAATTGTTGAATGTTCAAAGCCCCCAAATGACTTTACTTCTTCATTGACTTAAACTGCAACACACATGTGTGTGTGTGTGCTCACACCTGTCGTGACCCTCAATTGACTTTTTCAGAAACACACGTGTGTATGCCCACAGCAGCAATTGGTCGGCCAACCGTTGACCCTTGGGTGTAACCCTCACTTGTGACTTCTTCTGCAACACACGTGTGTGTGTGTGCTCACAGCAGCAATTGGTCTGCCAAAGTGGCTGAAAGTTCAAAGCCCTCAAGTGATTTCTTCACTGACTTATTCTGCAACACATGTTTGTGTGTGTGCTCACAGAAGCACTTGGCTGGCCAGCCCTCCATTGATTTCTTCTGCGCCACACATGTGTGTGTGTGTGCTCGCAGCAGCAGTTGTCGTGAACTGACTTATTCAGAACACACATGTGTGTGCCCG